GGAAACAATGATGTATTCAGGGTGACTACTCGCATCACGCAACTGCTTACATTCCAAATCGATTTCGTTTCGGGCTCAAAACTAAATTCGATTTATTTTATTTTTTGTTCAGTGGTACCATGATGACCCGAGCTAAATATAAATATCGTTAAAAGATTCTCAAGTAGCTGTTGAGCGGTGTGCGATTCGATCCAATATTCAGAAAATTCAGCAAAACCGGAAGTAGATTTTGAGCCCCATGGGAGCGAAAGCGTTTTTCGCAAAAATTCTACCAAAGGAAGCAGTATTAGCAGAAACTAACTATGGTCCGTTTGTATTCTTACTAGGACCTATCTAGGAGCAAAATACGAGTGAAATCGATTTTTCGACTTGCACCACCGAAAGTCGATTTTGGTCGATTTTTATGGACAGTCATTCTTGTTTTCTTTCCACTTCCGCCGGAAATAGGCGACAAAAAAGTGTTACTCATTTTGAGAACCGCGCTCGCCCTAAGCCGCGCAGTTAAAAAGGCCTGAAAATGTCGAATGGAGCTTACGTTCTACTCGTTACGGATAAACTACTTCTTAATTCTTAAAAACTACTTTTACAAAAGGCTGTTATGGAAGATTCCCTGAACAGTGTATCACTTCGCTTTGTTTTTGCTCTTCGATAATTCCTTGCCATTATGTCGTTACAAAGTTATGTTTCTGTTAACATAACAACATAACAAAGAACCAGTCAGAGCAGCGCAAGAATTGTCGAACCCTGTCCGCCACCAGCACTATTTTCAAAATGGCATTAACTATTAAGCGACATCAGGAAGGTTATCTGATATTCTCGATCACCCAAACTAACGCCTAGGGCGACAAAGAGTCGACTTTATTCCAGCGTGGTAACAAGCGTCGAGCCTGTGTCGATCCTATTTCAGAAGTTGCACTTATTAAAATACGGGAATGAGCACGCGTCCCCGTGCTATTCACTGCTAGGACTTACTAGCGAAATGCCGAAATACAGTGCTTGTCGGTCCTTACTTTGGCAATTAATTGCGAAAAATAGAAAGAGAAGACTCGCATTACATACAGCTCTGAGACCAGTGTATCAGAGACGACAGCTCATTGCTCTAAGTCAGCCAAGTGGCATGCTTGACCGTGCTTTTGTTGGCGAACCATGGAACAGCGGTCTTGAGTGTCTATTTGTGTGACGTTTGCCCAGTCCATCACATTTGAAACATTTATTTTGTAATTTACATGATTTATGAATTGA